CCCCCCCGCCCCCAAGGGAGCCAGCTGCCACCCTGCTCCCAAGGAGCCAGCTGCCACCCTGCTCCCAAGCAGCTGGCTGCCATCCTGCTCCCAAGGAGCCAGCTGCCACCCTGCTCCCAAGGAGCCAGCTGCCACCCTGCTCCCAAGGAGCCAGCTGCCACCCTGCTCCCAAGGTGCCAGCTGCCACCCTGCTCCCAAGGAGCCAGCTGCCACCCTGCTCCCAAGGAGCCAGCTGCCACCCTGCTCCCAAGGTGCCAGCTGCCACCCTGCTCCCAAGCAGCTGGCTGCCACCCCACTCCTGAGCAGCCGGCTGCCACCTCGCGCTGCTAGCTCAGTAGCAGAAGGTGCCTTCCCAGAAAGCCCTAGGACCAGGGTAGAGAGACATTCATGGATCAGCACAGAGGCCAGGGTGTGTGTGTGTGTCTGTGTGTAATGGCAATTGCCTGTACTAGCTCCAGCCTTCTAATTCACCGAGACCCAGGTCTGCAGCCTGCCCAGGAGGGCAGCCTGCTCTGAGCTCCCGGGGGACTGGCCCAGCCCCTGTGTGCACATCTCCCCACAGAGCAGGGCCCTAAGCTTCCTCAGCCTCTCGCTTTGCTTCTGCATCAGGCTGGCCCTTTGCCCGGTGCCTTGACCAACTCCAGCAGGCGGCCGCTGTGACGGCAAGAGAGACCCCGTCACCAGGGGACAGAGCCTGGCGAAAAAGCCCCCGCTGTGCAGTGAGCCGGCGAGACGCGCCTCCGCTTTGCCTGCTGCATTAGCCTGACCCATCCACTTGGCCGCCAGCCGCAGCAAACCTCACTGCCAGCCCACAGCCTGCCAGGGCAGAACTGCAACCATTGCTCGTTAAGTGCATCCCCGCAGCCAGGGCCACGGCTCTTTGCTGGGGAGGCCCGGATGCAATCAAAGCCTGATCCTGGCCTGGTTTTTTCTCTTCCAGGTTCCTCTGAAGACCTGACATTCTGCATCCTCTACCTTGCAGAGGTGAGTAGATCCTACAGGGTCCAGCTAACCAACGCTTTGTCCTGGGGGCAGAGCCGAGAGCGGGTCGATTTCACTTCTCCTTGGAGTTAGTTTGCCAGCTGCTGGGAAAGGGAACAGAGGTGGCTGCAGCCAGCACGGATGAAGCTGTTACGTGGAATTTGTGACTCAGGAGAGAATGAAGCATTGATGTCTGTACCCTTCCCCACCCCCCTTCCAGGCCGGGGGCGGGGCAGCCTTTCCCCACTGCTCTGACTTTTGATTGGTGCCTACGGGTTCTTCAGCCCTCTGATGGATTTATTGGCCAGTTTCTTTCAATTTCTTTTTACAGGCGGTTCCCTGTTCTTGCCTTCAGAATCTCAGACTTATAAACCATGAAATAGGACAAAGCAAGCACGGTGCATAGTAAATTCCTGGTTATCCAAATGGCTTGGGGGTCAGCTAAATCCTTGGGGTAGCTGGGTGTATTTTGAGCTGCGGATTATCCTGCCAAGTGTTGTAGAAGGCTGGAGCTAGTACAGGCAATCCCCCCCCCCACACCCCGCCTCTGAAATATGATTAGGATTCCGTGACTGCAGGTAACTGCTTAGAAGAGCTATACAAACACAAAGCCCTGGATTAGGACTAAGAGGCGTTAAGAGGCTAATTGAGATGTAATTAGCTGGTGATGAACTAAGAGAAGGTTTCAGGGAGGACAGGCAGTAACGAGGATCTCAGATAAAAGGCAATGACACTGGAAAAGACGCTTTCCATAAACACAGCTCTGAAAGAGCATGCAGAGGGAATGACTGAATGTCATAAACATGGTTATAATCACTTGGATGGTGGCCAAGTTCCTGTTGCCAGAAATGAGCTGAGAGCTGCAGAACTTGTTCTTTGTGAATTGAACCTACCCAGTCACCAGATCTTGCAGCTGCTTGCTGTGTGGGGTCCCTTCCCCCTCCCTCCCGAGTAACTCCGGGTTGTGCCTGATTTCAGCGCCCGGTGGGGAGAGGGCAGGAGTTTGGGGCTAGTCCTGCTTGTGCGAGCGTGGCATAGTTGCTTCCCCTTTCTCTTTGCCCTCCAACGCTCTTGTTTGTCTTGACTGTTGTAATGATGAGATGTGCAGCGCAGGAAGACGACCCTGTCTGGGTACGGCACCAGCACAGCAGGGCCCCGGCCTCAGCTGGAACCTCCTGACCCTGCCGTAATACAAATAAATCATCATTTTGTGACCCTAAAATGTAGCTTTTAGTGCCCAGTGTCCAGGCTCACCTTGAAGCAGAGGGCAGTATAAATGTTCACACCAGTGGGAAACTGAAACCGTCGGCCAGAGGTGCAGGCAGAGGCCAGAGGTGCAGCTGACGTGGACATAGGTTATGTTGTGCGGAGGGGTGAATTAGCCGCCCTCTGCGAGATGTAACTTACGATAGAATCAGAGACGATTAGGGCAGGATGTTTAACGCCCCCGACCCGAGCAGGACAGACCCCAACTCAATCATCCCAGCCAGGGCTTTGTCAAGCTGGGACGTAGAAACTTCTAGGGATGGAGAGTCTCCCCCTCCCTAGGGAACCCAGCCCAGCGCTTCACCCTCCTTGGGAAACAGCTTTTCCTAATATCCCACCGAGACCTCCCCCACTGCAACGTGAGCCCATTGCTCCTCGTTCTGCCACCTGCCGCCGCCAAGAACAGCCTCTCTCCAGCCTCTCTGGAACCTCCCTGCAGGGAATTGCAGGCTGCTTTCAAATCCCCCCTCACTCTCCTCTTCTGCAGACTAACTAAGCCCAGTTCCCTCGGCCTCTCTTCATGTCATGCGACCCTCTGGCCCGCCTTAAGGAAAATGGCACCCTTCTATTCCTCCCCCCCCCCGGTCACTACTGACCCCACCGGCTCCCTAGGCTTCCGCCCTATCTCTTCTGGGCCCCAGTTCCTTTCCCAGGGTTTAACTGGCACGAAGGAGATGCCAGAGGCAAGAGCCCAGCCTGGGCACACATTAAGCACTGGCAGGGCCGCCTGATTCTGGCGGGTGCTAGCCAGGTGCCACTGCCAGCAGCAGCGCAGAAGTCGGGGTGGCCTGGCAGATGGTGTGTTGCCGCCCTTATGTGCTGCTGCTGTAATGGAGGGCGGGCCTGATATTCGGCACGGGGCTCCAGGCGGGCGTTGCGCTGTGGCGTGGGGACCGCGTCTTGCCAGAGCGCATGGCCCCCCTGCCGCCCTCTGGCTGCTCCTGGCTCACCCCTGGGAGGTTTGGGGGGACGGTGGGCAGGGAGGCACCAGGCACCGCTGCGCTATGTGCAGATAACAGCTCTGGTATGTTCAGAAAGCGTAGCTGTCCGTTCAGAGGTAATACGGCCAGCCCCTCCCCATCCCAGGCCGCAGGCTCTGTCCACACTTGCACTTGCGCTTTGAGACCAGTGTGTTGCAGCCCCCGTGCTGAAAGAGAGCTCTCCCCCAGCGCTTCAGGAAACCCCCCTCCCCCAGGAGCATAGCTCTCCGCGCCACCGGCCAGTGACTGCTCTGACGCTTGCTGTGCTGCGGTGGGGGCAGGAGGAGGTGTGATTTTCACACCCCTGAGCAGGAAAGTTTCAGCACCGTCACTTGCCGGTGTGCACAAGCCCTTCGCGTGCCAGTTCCGGAGCTGTAACCCGGCTCTCCAACGCACGTGCGATACTTTGCCTGCTGTCTTGCGCAGAGCACACAATAAGTGCAGACTGCTTGCTTCCTCTAGCAGACACTCGCTCTAGAGGGGTCGCCCTGGTAGTCTGTAACTAAAAAAAATTAAAAACCAACAAATGGCCCTGTAGCACCTCGGAGACTAACACAAACATCTCATGAGCTCACCAGTGTGTCACCTCTGCTGGAAAGCCCGGGCCTTTCCCACACTTGGGGAATCTCTGTCATCCCAGCCTGTGCCTTGATAATCTTTCCCTTCCCCCAGTGCCACCCTCCTCTCAGCCTTCGCCCGCTGCTGCTGGAAAGAGCACAGAGCCTTCCTGCAGAACAAGGGTCGATTCCCTGCTCCGCACGGGGCGAGAACTGGTTGAGGGTGGCCAAGGGAATTGGACACACATTGCTGCTTGTCTGCAGATACTGGGCCTGCCCTGTGCCGGTGAGGCCTGCTGCTGGCGGAGGGAAGGGGAAATGGTCGTACGCTGTTTATTCAGTCTTCTTCCGCTGTGTGTTTCCCTCCCACTGGTTATCTGGCCAGAGTCACTCCCCATCCAGGCAGGCCGCCTCGCCTGCGTTGGGGGAGCCCTGCGCTGGGCTGGGGCAGAGGAAAGGCGTTAACACACGGGACAGTGTGACTGTGACCGCACAGGAGCGGGCAGGGGCTCAGAGAGAGCAGGTGCAGGGAGACGTGTAATGTCGAGGCCCCAGCTCAATGAGTTTGGGAGACACGTCATTCCACGTGTAAGAGGGACACTGAGGCACAGAGCAAGGAAATGCCTTGCCCACCATCGCACCGCGGGCCTCCCAAATCCACCCCCATTTGCATACACTTCACAGCAATGAAACTGTCTCCAGCGTAGTGGCTTTAGCTATTTAAATCTTAAATGTCTTGGTGTTTTAACAAAGCATAAGTATCGGTTATGGCTGACCAGTAGGGACTGGAGCACGCTGCGGGCAGGGGCTGGTGCAGCTCCGCAAGGCCTGTCGCGGTCAGGGGCACTCAAGCCTGGCCGGAGCAGTGCCCATACATGATGGGTGGCCGCTCCAGCCCAACGGGGGCGTGGGAGGAGCTGGTCCAGCCAGTTAGGTTGGAGCATCCCTCCGCATATACCCCCCCCCCCGTTTAGTCGATTAACCCGTTAAACTTAACATTTAACTGCTTAGCCAGGTAAACGGGATTTGGCATCCCTAATGTAACCCTCTAAAGTGCTTTCGGGCGGGGGGGCCTGATCCAAAAGGGGGTGGCAAGGCTGTTGTGGAGAAGGGGTCGCACTGTTACCACCCTTCCTCTTGCTGCTTTCAGAGCTGGGCACCCAGCTTGGAAAGCAGCACCTCCGCCAGCCACAGCACAGAAGGAAGGGGACCCGGGCTGTGGCCTCCCCACCCCCCCAGATCCTTGCAGTCCCTTTGGGGTCAAGGAGCCCCATTGTGGGGAACACTGGGCACTTGTGCCCCCGGCCTGTGGGCCAGTATCACCGTCCGTGATGTGTTGAATTTGGCAGGGCCCTAAGTCTTCCTGTGAGTCAGTGCAGAGACAGGGCTAAGCTGGGGAGACCTGACTCACGCGTCTGCTCCCAGGCCACATGCTGTCTGCCCGCAGTGACAAAGAGGTGGCTGCCCGGGAAGCGGAGGAGGACGGTGCTGCTGTTGCTAAGGCCCGAAGGGATGAAGGCTGGGTTGGCGGATAAATCACCGGCCTGGGAGCAAGGCGAGCGGGGTCCAGTCTTACCTCTGCTACTGACTGACCCGGTGACCTTGAGCAGGCCACTTAAACTTGTGCTCGGATGTCACCAGGGTGGTGTGCGGACAGGCGGCATGCTCTGTTCAGCTGCGTGTGTGGGCTCCCTCTCTGTCCTGCCCAGCTCAGTGTAGGAAGCCAGACCCCACGAGAACCCCCAACAACCGCAAAATCAGAGAAGGGGCGAAGGCTCCAGGCCAGGTTTACTGTCCACGAGACACTGTCCTAGGGCCCTGGCTCAGTGGATAAAGCCCCAGGGGCCAGCAGGCCCCCCCATCCCATATTCAGCATAGGGAAATACGCTCACCCTAGTTCTCAGGAACGGGCGAAGTGGGTTTGTTATACCCAGATCCTTATGCCAAACCAACCTCATTGCCTCTGTAAGTTTTCTTGGTGAAGGCTCAGAAGGCGCCGGGGTGAGACACTGGTCCTAGCTCCCAGAGAGAAAGCAAAGTGCAGACCGGGGGTGACCGGTGAGGAGGGCCACAGGGGGGCACCGGTCACATGACCGCTCCCCTCACCCCGTGACTCCTCCCCATGTCCTCATTGGCTCCTTTGACAGGGACGCTGGCCCAGGTGAGTGGGGGCAGCAGTAGATGTGGGTGACAGCTACGT